AAGCATCTTTCTTATTGTAAAAAAACATACCGTTTAACCATTTGGAAAGCGTGCGCACGGAAAACGAGGGAACATAAGTTAGAAAAAAGGGGAGAAACAAGAAAACCCTAAGAGAAGAAAGAGGCAGTGTGGGCAAACCTGTGTGCACCTATTGTACTGAATCCGCTGCATTAGTGCCGCTCTATCACCTCCTTAGCTTGTTGGTCCATCCACACTTCCTCGATTTGCGCTCGCTGGCAAGGAAGAAGAGGGAACACCTCGATCTACCTCAATCCCCATCCCCAATCTACGGCCACCACTGAGCTCCTCCCCCATCTCTCATTAGCCACTTCTTCGATCCGCCACCGCCATGAGCTCCTCCTCTATCCGCCATATGAATCTGCCGAGCTTCTCCCCTATCCTCGCATGCCACCCCCGAACTCCCCATCTGCGGGCACTGCCCCACGACGAGGACAACAGCATAACGCCAGCGTGTCGGGGGAGGGGGGAGGAGCGGGCCCCTTATAGGCAAGACATGGGTGGGGATTTTATATTATCTTATGGATTTTGGGGCGTTGTTTGTAAAGTTTTGGACTTCCTCGATGAATGAGGGCACTCCAGGAGGTGGCGAAGACAGCGGCGGCGGCATCGACAGCTCCATCGCGCGAGCACGGGAGCAGCGGCGGCGCTGCTCCTGTGCTCGGGAGGGGGGAGGAGGGAGGGGGGAGTAGCGGTGCGAGCTCGGGACCTGGCGGTGGTGAGCTTGGGAGTGGCCGACCGGGATCTGGTGGTGGAGAGCTCGTTGGCGGCGTATCAAGCGGTGGGGTGCTCCACGGTGACTGATCTAGTGGCAGGGAGCTTGTTGGCGGCGAATCCGGCATGGGGGACCTCGGCGATTGTGGATCCAGCGTAGCGACCTACGCAGGTGCGGATCTAGCGCCCGGTCCCCCTTCCTCACGGATCTCGGCCGGCGAGGATGGCGCGAACGACAATGGCTTTTGGGTTCTAGGGTTAGGGTTTTTGGTTTTTGAAATTTTTATTTTTTTGTCAAAATTATTTTTTGCAGTCGGACGACTTAAGCGCATGCGGTCGCTATACCCGCATGTGAAAATACTGATTTTCACAGACATATGGGTACAAGCGGGCTATCCACCCATATGTGAAAATCTATTTTGACCGCATGAAAGAAATAGTTTTTGCCACGTCCAAAATTCACCCTAAAATGCACCTTTTTATTCCTAGAAAAGGTAAAACTTGGTTTTAAATCCGTCACTATTAAAAATGTGCAATTTAAAATTCAAAGGAGGATTTTACGTATATTTCCTGGTAGCTTAATATGGTTAACCAAGATTTAGTAGAATTTTCAGAACACAAATAAAAATTATTAAGCAATAAAAACTTTTAACAGCCTTTTGTTAAATCAAAAACCTAAAAGAAAATCCTTTCTCCCTCTTGACCTTTTGTCTGTCGCCCATATAATAAATACTATATACACTTCCACTTATTAAACTCTAATTCGTATCAAAGTTTATATACCTCGCCTTCTAAGACGAGGATTAATGCATGCACAAACGGAATGTTGGGTTATTTCCGGTCGTGACCATTTTTTTTAGTAGTGACTGGATTCAAGGTGAACATCCAAATTCCGCATGTATAGCTGATAAAAGTAGGTATTTATGACGAATGCATTTGTTGAATTTCAAAAGGCGTGGCACATGCATCCCATTATATTAAACCAAACACTAGCTTCGATTATTTGCCAAATTAACATGCTAGCTCGCCACAAAATGTGGCAAAAAATTAGCTTGATACTCGAACTAAATATGCCGGCCATAACATACCTTTCATGTATGCGCTTGTTCGTATACTTTTTTTTTCCCGACGACATGTTCATATCTTTTTATATCTCCTGTGTAGATCACTAATTAATTAATTCAATAACAATATCAAAACAGCTGACAATAATAATTAAGCCGGCTGCTATGCTTACGCCCATCGATTGTGCGCTCGTATGTTGCATACCAACTTTAGTCCGGACGGTCTAACATTGCGTGCACACTTAAGAATCAATGCAAGGCTGACTGAATTAGTCTGGAGGAGGTAAAAAGATACTTTTGCTAATCTCCAGCTGTGTCAAAAATCCCCTCAGTATATGGATCACGCCACTTAATTAGTCTTAAATTCTAACTGTTGGATTGTTGAATATTCAATTTCAGCATAGCTTTAAGCACATCACCTTTTTCGTTTTTACTGTTGAGTTTGTGAGAGGGAAGGGATCGATCATGACGATTTAGGATGCAGTACGCATGAAAGACAAAATTCAAAGGAAGCAAACGCCGTGGATCGACCAAATTGTGCGTTCAGTGCGTGCATGCTTACAGAATTAACATTGAAAGATGCAAAACATTAATTGTGCTTTTTGAATTGATCTAGTAGTAACTAACTAAGCTTAATTACGAACTAATCAACCTGCAGGTACGTCTTATCGCGCTAACAACCCACTTCATGCTAGCTTGATTAAGTCATAACGTAGTACTATAGGCAGTTTAGTCATCGTACGAAGGTGAAAAACGACTTGCCTGGTTTATAACTAATTAATTAATCATATCTAAACATTTTTCTTGCTGTGTACTAAAAATAATTAATTAGTTACGTTGGTATATATGTACCTTGCTTTTGTTCGGTAGAAAGGAGGAAAAACGACTGACCAATGGCATCAGAAGATGTTGCACGCATCTGCCAAAAAAAAAGGTATTCGCACCATGAATTGAACATTAATGTACAGCAGATATATATAGTTAGTTAGTCCTAAAAATTATCTAGATAATTAATTAATTACCAACGTTATACTAAGAAAGAATAAAATTTCTTAATGACTACTCCCTCCGTTTTAATATTTTCTCAAACTTTTTAAGGTTTCACAAGTTTGTAGAAAAATTTAGCCATATCTATAACATCAGATTATATTAGTTTCATTAAATGCAGTATTGAATATATTTTGATAATATGTTTGTTTTGTGTTGAAATTTCTTTTTTCGAGATAAGGGTGATTTTATTCATTAAATTTACAATCTCGACGAACGAGTATAGTCTCCACACTGAACTATGCCTCGTCCTTCTAGCTAATTGAGCTAATTCATGAGCCACTCTATTATATCCTCTTTTAATATGATCAAATATTTTTTGTGTTGGAAATATTGCTATACTTTTTATAAGATTGGTTAAACTTTTAAAAAGGTTGATTAAAAAAAAATTAGAGCGACTTAGAGTACGAAACGGATGCGCTATAGCTTTTCTTCTTCTCAAGGCAAAGGGATCTCGACAACTTATATATCCAGCTACAGTATATCCCTGCGTGGATTACCTCTTCATTGACAAATGCATGGGATGCATTACAAGAAATTCCAGCTGCCAACTGACTCAATAGTGATAATCAGAACGTGACAAATTAGCGATACATTTGTCAATGTGCGTATCTAACTTTCACTATTTGTCCGTACGTGTTATTCATCTGAATGGAAAAGGGATATATAGATTGATTGATTATATTTTTCATGCATCTTCCCGGTGTGCACGCTAGCTAGCTAGGCGTCATGCAGACTACCTGTTGAGGTAATCACAACGGCATTAGATATAATGTATTTTCAAATAAGAATTCACCGAGAATATAGATTATATAGCTAGGATAGTTGGGAGAATGCTTCTCCTGAGTTGTGCATCTGTTTAATTATCACTTTGTGCATGTAAGTAATCATAAGACTTTGTCGCAAGCTTTAAATACCATTTTTCTTACATGATTAAAGATATATATGAAAGTGATTTTTATGACAAAACCGATTGATATGTCTTTTGCATATTGTAGTAGATCCTTATATTAGTTTTTGCATCTATTAAATGATCTACGATTTTAAGGTTTGAACGGACGAGTTATAGAACATCGTCCGTGTTTAGTTCCTTGGCTAAATTTTTTTTAAGTATACGGACACACATTTAAAGTATTAAACGTAGACTAATAATAAAACAAATTACAGATTCCACCTGTAAACTGTGAGACGAATTTATTAAGCCTAATTAATCCGTCATTAGCAAATGTCTACTGTAGCATCACATTGTCAAATCAGCGTAATTAGGCTCAAAACATTCGTCTCGCAATTTACATGCAAACTTTGCAATTGGTTTTTTTCGTTCATATTTAGTGTTTAATGTATGTATTCAAACATTCGATGTGATATTTTTGGTAAGAAAAAGAAAAATTGAATCTAAACACGGCCAACGGATACACGTACGTACAACCTATGATAGTTATGATTGGAGAGAGTATATACATATTTATGACTGGAGGTACTAGAGTTTCACGCCTACATAGGGCACATGCTTATCAAAGTACTCTATCTTTTTTGAGTTCAACTCGATATATAGACTGAGTTCTTTCTCCCAGGTTCCCAACTCCCCTCTCTCGTTTTCCGCGCATACGCTTTTAAAATGTTAAATGGTGCATTTTTTTTGCAAAAAAATTTCTATATAAGAGTTGCTTTAAAAAAATCAAATTAATCCATTTTTTGGAAAAATAATGGACCGCTCCATTTTCCGTGCGTGGGACATGGGTTCCCAACCGGAACTAGCGAACACAGCCATAGCTTGTAAGGGAAGTGGATTTTTGTCCCTCGAGGAGGCATCCCCCGTTTTGTGCATGACGTTCAAAAAGTTATCAAAATATTTGAAAAAAAAAGTCAAGATAGATCTATATCTTTTCGCAAACATGAAAGTTAAAATTTGACTTATACAAACCGTGAATTACGTGTTCAATTCGTAGTCAAATTTGTTATTTTTGTTTGTATAAGTTAAATTTGAATATGCATGTTTGTGAAGTAACATATCATATATTGATCTATCATACTAAATTTTTTAAAATTTTTCAATGACTTTTTACGTGAAATGCAAAAACGAGGGAATATCCTCTTAAGAGATGAATAGAGTTTTCTGTCTGTAAGATATATTCGTTATTATCTTGACAGTTGTCATGATCAGAATCTATTATTTTATTCATTTTTTACACACGAACACATATACTTTTATTCCTTACTGAAATATTTACACTAGCAAGGCTTACACATGTATATCACACATCCACAATGTAATTCCTATTGAAATCATACATTCGTTGCATTAGCTTAATTAACTCCTTTGACAAGGAATAAAGAAAAAACAAGTTCGTTGATGTGCATGCAATTAATTATGCAACCCTTGCATGCACGTACTGTATGTCTGTATCTACTTTCGTATATTAGCTAACAATCAGTCCATGGAGTAGCAAATCTGCCTCAAAGCCTCGACGTGCTGGTCGTCGAGCGCCATGAACATCTCGACGCCGCCCTTCGCCGCGCACGACGGCACGAAGATGAGCAACCCGTCGATGGGCACGTCCGGCGGCAGGAACGCGCACGGCGGCCCGCCGCCGAAGTCGAGGTCGTGGAACCTGAACCCTATCCAGCTGTCGACCTCCAGGTCCGGGCAGAACGCCGTGCCCGGCTCCGCCGCCGTCGGCGCGAGCTCGTCGCCGGCGGCCACCTCGCCGAAGTCCACGAACGACTGGATGTACCGCTCGTCGACGCGCGCCACGGCGTCGCGGATGACGCCGACCACGGCGGCGTAGCTGGCGGAGAGGAGGTCGCGGACCTGCATCCTCGGGAACGCCCAGAGCACCATGTTGCCGAAGTAGTCCGTGGGCACCGCCGGGCCGGCGCGGCCGCGGCAGTTGACGGCGACCCTCACCTGCGTGTACTCCTTCGGCGAGAGGTCGCGCGCCGCCGTGATCTTCTTCCACGCGTGCGCCAGGAGGCACTGGAACGTGCTGCACCGCGCGCCGCCGACGCGGGCCTTGAGGCCGGCGACGAACTCCGGCGGGAAGTGGACGGCGAGGTTCCGCATCCTCTCCAGCGGGAGGGCGCCGTAGGAGTGGCTCCTGCTCCCCTCGCCCCTGAACTCGACGTTCCGGTGGTCGAACGCCGGCGCCGGCGGGATGCGCGGCGCCGCGACGGCCGACCGGTCGAGGAACGGCGTCGGGAGGGCGGCGCCGGCGGTGCGCACGGCGGCGGCCCACTCGGTGAAGAAGACGCTCATGGACTGGCCGTCGGCGACCTGGTGGTGGCTCACCGCGCCGATCACCAACCCGCCGCACGTGTACCGCGTCAGCTGCACCTGCAACAGTGGCTCGTCCACACGATCCTGCAAACGGACGGAAACGATACGTGTCAAACTTGAAATACATCACGTCACGTACGCTTGCACACGCGTGCATGATCGCATGCACGTTTCGTACGTAAAAGCTAGCTAGTGTTTGGTACGTGTCGAACTGAAGCTAGCTAATCCCTCCCGTTTTAGGTTATTAGACCGTTTTGGTTTTGGTTAAAGTTAATCTGCTTTGAGGTTGACTAAATTTATAGAAAAATATAATAACAATTTCAACACAAGACGATTTATTATAAAATTAAATATATTTAACTATTAATTTGATAAAACTAATTAAGTAAATAATACTATATTTTTCTACGATCTTAGTTAAACTCGAAATAGTTTAAATTTAACTAATGTCAAAACGTCGGAGTAGCTGATCGATCTTACCTTGTCGGCTTGGGGGTAGAGCTGGTTGACGTGGGCGGCGACGTCGTGCGCGAGGGCGTCGGCGAGGTCGCCGGCGGCGGAGGCCTCGAGGACCCTCGCGCCGGCGTTGTTTAGCCGGAAGCACTTCCGGCCGCGCTCGTCGACGGCGAACCTGCCGGCGAGGTGCGGGAACCGGGACAGCACGGCGGCCAGGCCGTCCTTGATGGCGTCGTTGGACAGCGCCGCCGCCGCCGCGGCGTCCCAGGCGAACATGGTCGGGATGTAGCCGTCCGTGGCGGCGCGGTCGAAGACGGTGAGCGGGACCATCTCGCCGCCGCCGGCCGACGCCGGCGACGGCCTGAGCACCTCGCTCCGCGTGATCTCCACCGTCACTGCAGCCATCGCCGCCGTCGTCGATCGATCAGATCTTGGTGTACGTACGTACGATGTGTTTTGCTACGTGTGTGGTGTAATGTGTCACTGTGTGTTCTGCTGGCAGCTTGGGTCGGTTATATATAGGGTTTTGTACATGAGCGAAGTTAGCTTGGGCGAGAAGATTAATTAGCGTTGGTCAACAACGGGTAGGTAGCTAGCGTTGACTGCTGGATCGGCTGCTTTTTTTTTTTTTTACTTTACGGATGGATCGATCGGCTCCGTGTCCCTTCTACAATTATAGGCAGTACTGCCCTACACGTAAGCGTGGGTCAATACATATATACGTACCGACGTAAGCATGCACAATTATACTCTCTCCGTCCTAAAATATAACCACTTTTATCTTGACACTGTCTCCGAAATACTACTTTAATCAACAATATCTGTATAAGTAAGATGTTTTAAATAAAAATAGTTGCATATTATGATTGTTTGTTTAATAATAAATCTAGTAACATTAATTTTATATGATTGATTTTTTCTATTTTGCTATTAATGGTCAAAGCTAAAAATGTTTGACCTGCCACTATACTAAAAATGCTAATATTTTGATAGGGGGAAGTATTTAGAAATTTAAATTTTAGCCATTTTCCGTTGAAAACTTTTGAATATGTCGACCATATGAAATTGAATGGAATTTTAATGTTGTTCGAATATAAAAGTCTTGCATTTGACTAGCATTATGCGGTGCCATTTTGCCAAACTTTAAGTACATGTGCACATGCAAATTCCTTGTTCTTGTGGCTATCTAACATGTGGTTCCTCTTCGAAGAGACAAGTCTTTGATAGTCACCATCTTAATTTCTACAAACTTGGAATGACTTAACTTATAGTAAAACAAGGCAGCAAAACCGTGTACTAGCTCTTGTTGCTTTTCTACGAGCTGGACCATCTCTGGTCTTTGCTCTGAAAAAAAATTGCTCTGAAAAAAAAAACGCAGAGAAGTCCAAATGTAACTACGCACGTGTGCCTATGTATTTGGGTCCTTATCAGGTTTTAAATCTCGCGCTATAGCTACCATTATCTCCCGCTATAGCTGTTTAAAAAGGTTCTAGCTATTTGCTCTCATGTACAATTTAGCCAATAAGCATTTAGCCCGCTATAACTGCCGCTATAGCTGTTTGAGAAGCTAACTGCTAAATGCCTTAGCCGCTATTTAAAACATTTGTTCTTATACACACAGAAAACACCATATCACGTACGCACTACCATATATCTTCTTTTTTTAAAAAATATCCTTGTTTTCCATTACAACTTATTTAGGCCCCCTTTGATTCAAAGGAAATTCATAGAAATTTTAAAGGATTTTATTCCTATAGGAATTTTTCCTATATAGCCCTTTGAATCAAAGGAATGAATCCTATGTAATCCTATGAAATTTCTATGGAATGCCTCTTCCCATGCAAGTTTTGGAGGAAATTTAGCATGAGGTTATACCTCATGTTAAGAATCCTTTGAGTCTTTATCTCTCCTCAAATTTCTGTGTTTTTCCTGCGGCTCAATCAAACGGTCATTCCTATATTTTTCCTGTATTTTGCAATCCTCTGTTTTACAATTGTATTCCTTTTAGAATCCTATGTTTTTGCTATTCCTCTGTTTTTTCATTGCTGCGATTCAAAGAGGCCCAAGCTTACATATTTATCGATAGTGATGGACACCGCTCCTAGGTAGGTCGGCGGCCACCTTGCCCGTCTCCGCCTTTACCATCTTCACTATTGTTGGCCATCAACACCTATAAAAATCTGTTGATTATCGGAAAATGCTACTAGTCACTTTGGGCTTAACGACGGTAGTGTTGGCTCCACCACTATTTGTGAAGTGATTTATCTTGTTATTTTTTAAAAAAAATACAACTATTTGAATAAGATGTAAATAACCAGAGAATCGGATACTGTATGAGAGTTTAAAATAGTTTGCCGAATATTACGTACCGATCAATCGAGTGAATTAATTGGCCACAACCTGCCTGGAATTGACGTCGTTCGAATGTATGCAAAAATGACTCTTGCACTTGACCGGTATATGAGCTGGCAAACGTGCACATTGCTTTGTGCATGTGCATACATTTTTTTTAGAATGAAAAATCTTACGAACATATATGCATATACATGTGGTTACAAGACAATCGATCGGCAGGGTAAGCTTCTAAGTTGGAACGACTTATAACGAATAGTACAACTCGGTAGTCAAACCCCGAACTACCTTGTTGCTTTCTATGAGCTGGGCAGCAAAACCTCTCAAAAACCATACGAAAAGTAGCTGGCTGTGTTTGACGTGTGGGAAAAGAAGAAGATTTAGAAGATAGATGGACCATTAAAGTACATAATTAATTGAGTATTCATTATTTTAAAACATATAAAAATAGATTAATATGATTTTTTAAGCATCGTTTCTATAGATTTTTCTCTAAAAAAATACAACATTTAGCAGTTCGAAAAGCGTGTGAGCAGAAAACGAGGAATTTGAAACTTTCATGTCAAAAAACACAACTTACATTTCAAATATAGGAGAAAATCATAAATAAAGTTTCAATTTCAATATGTCACCAAGAAAAAAATGGAGGGGGGGGGGTTATCAAAATAGGGATCAGCCACCATTAGAGAACGTCATTTCCGCTGTACTCATAGGTTCCGATTTTTATATGAACAGACAACTATGCTTGATGGGTTTATGACATGCCATTTTCTTTACGGACCAGCACAAATGAATGGTTATATGTGCAGGTTTATTTACGTGGAAAACATCTTATAGGTGCTAGTTTTAAGAAAACCGACACCTTTAAGACTGGTCTCTACGTGGTGTTTTCTACTAGTGTTCCGCCTATCTCACCAGCATAGCTGCTGCTGTTGGGTATATATAGATGGACACTATCCGGGTCCTTGTCGTCCTTGGTGTCATCGATATAGCCTCACTGCTGATGCTGCTACCTCTGGAAATGACAGTGAGGTAGCCTTTGTCGTCGACGACCTGTTTGGTCTCACCAGTGGCGAAGTCTGAGATAAGGTCTGCAGTGTGAGGAGAGGGAAGTGAGTCTCTTCTTCGGGGTTGCCAGCGGGAAGTCCATGGGAGTAGGAGGGGCTAGTCGGCTAGGGTTCAAACCCCTACCGTCGACACCACGGAACGGACAATCAGAAGGGGGATCGAATGGGCCAGGAAAAGCAGCAAGCGCTGAGCGACGCCTAGCTAATGAAGCCAGGGGAGGTGGTAGTGGTGTCGACATGTAGCAGTATGAAAGTAAACGAGATGGGAGAGAATTTGTTTCAATTCGCGGTCCATCGCCTAGCGAAGTCAACCAACCACCTTCTTGTTAGTCCTATATATCTTACAATAAATTGATGCCTACTAACTCGTAAAGCTCAACATGCAAGTATGCCACATCATCACTCACTAGCAATTATTATCTATAATATTTTAAATATCATGTATACATGATATATCATTTACAATTTTGTTGTATTTTTAGAACTCAACATGCAAGTAATGTCAAATCATTATCTCCACATCATTCTTCATATTATTTAAACTATACACTTACCATTTCTATAATGGATAACATACATTCATTAACATATCCCGTAGGAAAGCGCGGGCCAACTAGTTTTGAAATGTTGGTAGCCAACTATGACAAAGTTAGAAGCTTTACTATATAGGATCAAATACCATTACTTCATATTTTATTGGAAAACTTTAATGTTATTTACATGTAAAGGACGTTTGCGAAAAGATTGTGGGGTCAGTTGACACCACAACAACCTTATATATATAGTGCCACTGGCAGCCATCTAATGATCCAATTTGCGACCAACTCCTAACGTTGCTTAACAAAAGCACAGATAAATGAGAATTAATCCAAGCAGTTACTCTAAAAGCTAGTTAGTGCATGAAGCAAGTGTATGTTAGAATCGTGTATGTATGCATGACGTGGAGAGATAAAAGATGTTTCATGTTTGCACGGCGTCTACAACAAATATAAAACTTCGGCGATAAGAAATGGACGTGCACCAACCTCATGATCATAAGTCAGAAAATTTACCAGCTTCTCTAGTTCTTTATTGCAATTTCCATGTCAAATTAACTAGCGAGTTCTTTTGGGAGTATTTACGCTACACAACTCACAGCAATCCAGCGAGAAGTGTGTGTGTGTGTTTTTTTTTTCTTTAAACTGATTGCTGCCATCTATCACATTTCACATATGTATGTTAGTTTTAGATTTGAAGATATATATATGCTCGCTCCAGTTGCAAAAGAAGTTCGCTTTGTATAATCTATATATATAGTCAGCATAGATAGAACTTAGATCGTAGTTATTGCTTACAGGTTTTGCACATACGTACGAAAGTAGCATATATAACATTTATTAATCAAAAGATATTTCATAATATTAATTATACTCGTGGAACTAATTTTCAATTCAAGCAAAAGAATCTAAGGGGTCAAAGTTATGTCCTATTGATTTTGAAATTTCCAATATATCAATTTTTTTACCAGAGGTGGTAATTATAATTACTTTCAGATTTTAAAGATGAAAAACGTTACTAGCCTGCTTCAAAGGCAGATTTTTTTTTCATGAACAGTGCGATCTTATAATTAATTTGCATGGCTGAAGCAATATTTAATGCAAGAGGCGACCATGAAACACTATCATTTTTTTTTAAAAAAATTGCAGGATATCAATTTCAAAAAATTAAAAACAATGTTTCGAAACACGTGCACACATGCATAGAGATGTCAACGTCGGCTGGACCTAATCAAAAGTAGTATTGGCATTTGGCGGGTCCTTTCTCCCGACTAGTTGCACTGTGGTGATCGCGACTGCTGTTTTTAAAATGTTGAATACTTCAGATTGAATACCTCGCAATGACGCAATAGCACAGAACCCCTAATCTGTAATGGCGATCGAGATTCTCATCTGTAACGGCTGGCCAAGCCATCACAACCTTTTGGTTACTGATACGGGGATTTATCTATAACGGTCTGTAGGTTAAATCCAAAAAAAAAGTAGCCAGTGCTCACACGGGGAGGCAGCGCTACGATCGGGATGGACGGGATGAGCGCTGCCAGGG